CTCCTTATACACCCAACAAATAGGATTGGCTGGGAGTGCACAAATATATCTGCTTGTGTGCTTGACCTTGAATGCATGAGAAAATGACAGGACAAAGTCTATAGATAATTCTTCAAACAATACTTTTATTGAGATTTATCTACCTATCTATTTATCTATCTATCATCTATATAATGATAATAATATCCTTCCATTCAAATATCTATCACAATTCTTTGAAAATATTACATATTGGATAATGTGTTAATAAACCATTTCTTGCTCATATTCATGATATATTTTTATAACAATTTATTCAATTTCATATAATACATATTGCACATTAAATATCACGCCTGGGTTTAGAGAATTAATATAAGATCTGGAATAAAGATTGATTCTAAGTAACTCTTGATTAGGGTTGATATTATTTTAATCCTAATGAAGAATGAATCTAATTAGTAAAATTCTCCATTCCAAAATGGTAAATCTTGATTTGTGACCCTAGATCTTTGTAATCCTAAACCAGGATTATCTTATTAATTTAGTCCTGAATGAGAAATGAGAAATATGACACTTAAATTCGTTTAGTCATGACTAGCTGGGGATGATCTTGAGGATAGTAGCTACTAAGAAGATATAAATATGGATACAATTCATCAGAATTATCTGCTGGAGAACTCTGATCCATCCTGGATATAGGGCTAGGTGATGTATGTGAATAAGCATTCGGAGCTACACTGTAATATACGGTCTGTCCATTGGAATACATAGGTTCGGGTTTACTCTCAACCTGGACATAATGCTGGTTCAAAGGTTGAGCATATCCTTGCTCAGAGTCTCTGCTTTCTGATCTTCGGATCGGATCAGCTTTGTGATAGAGAACTGGGTTCGGTGAAGGATAGTTATCTTCTCCTGCTGGTGATCTAGGATAGTTTGGAGAAAGGGTTGAATAATAAGAGGGAGATGGAGAATAAATTCTTCTGTCAGAATGAACTGGAGTTGGAGTTGAGAAATGATGAACAGAATTAGGAGTGGTGTACTGAATTACTGTGGAAGGGGTTGAGGAGTACTGAATAGGGGCTGGAGTGGAATAATGAACAGGAGAAGGAGTGGAGTAGTGAACAGGAGAAGGAGAAGAATAGTGAAGAGGCGTGGGTGAGGAGAACCTTCTGGCAACAGGAGTAGGAGTTTGACCAGGAGATGATGTGGAATAGTAAATTATAGTTGGAGAAGGTGAATGAGAAGGAGCAGGAGTAGAATATTGGATTGGAGCAGGGGTGGGGTATAGAGCAGGAGATGGGGAATAGCTTCTAGGTGAAGCAGTAGAATAAAGAACTGGAGCTGGAGTAGGAGAAGAAGGACCAGGGTTTGAATTTCTCCTAGGAAGAGGAGTAGGTGAGAAATGAGCAGGAGCAGGAGCAGGAGTAGAATAATTAACGGGTCCAGATTCCTCTCGTGTTGGATTCTGAGCTGATTGAGGGGAGGTTCGTTTAAAAACTTTCTTAGGCGTATTTTCAGAATAAGGAACATGATGGATCGGAGAATGTGGATGGGAATTATCTGAAAACCTTATTGCTGGTACAGGTGTATTCTGGTAAACCACACTAGGATGGTATCCGGGGTGCTCAGGGTGGGACGGAGCTGTATAGTAATGAATACTCACAGGTTCATGAGGATAGTTAGAAGCTCCGTTTATATTTTTAAACTGGACAGGTTCAAAATGGGGATGATAGTCAGGAGACGAAATGGGATTATAAACATTTTCATGAACAACAGGGGGAGGAGGAGGGGGAGAGGGAGGAGTGTAATCAGGAGCTGGGTGAGGAGGAGTGTAATCAGGAGCAGGATGAGGAGGAGTGTAATCAGGAGCAGTATGTGGAGCAGTGTAATCAGGAGCAGTATGAGGAGGAATGTAATCAGGAGCAGGATGAGGTTGATGATGGGTAGGAGTGGGAGGAGGAGGAATGTAATGTTGGTTAGGAGGAATAGGATCTGAAGGATTACCAGGACTTTGAGGAACTGGTTTTCTGGGATCATAATGAATATTGGTTTTTGAAGGGATTGGTGTTGGGAGGAGAGGAGGAGGAGTATAGTTTATGGTTGGAATGGTTCGGACAATCTTTATCAGCTTTTTTTGAGGATATTCAGGATATTCAGAATGAATTAGATGCTCTGTGTGTCCTGCATGTTCAGAATACGTAGCGTGCTCTGGGTGTTTAAGGTGTTCAGGATGATCGATAGAACGTACAACTTCTCCAGGTTGTAACACAGCTACTTTACTGATGGGTTTATGATGATGTGTGGGCTCATAAGGAGCTTCATGGTATACGGTTTCAACAAAATCTGGATGAGCAGGTTCATATGATATTCTTGGTCTAAACCCCAACTCATCAGCTTCATATGAAACTACTTGAACTCTACCATCTGGTAGTTTAACCTTATATTCTCCTTGGGTAAGCTGACCCTCTGTATGTTCTCTATGACCATGATAATCTCCTAAACAAAGTTTATTAAATAAATATTTTTAGAACATAAATATAAAGATTGTTCACCATTGAAGAGAGTGTTCGCGAAAATTGGAAGGGGGTATAGGCTTAGGGCAAAAAATAAGCGCTTTTGATCGCTACTAATCTTACTTCTTATCTGTTGCGTCTTTAAGGAGAAAATTGTTAAAAACAAATCCTACCTAAGAACGTAGGGTCCAGACAAATTCAAAAATTTGCAACATTCAACTCGGAACGTAAAATTTAATTCCAAACAAATCATTCAGATATTAGAACCTTTAATCATAAATAATTTTTCGACGCATTCGTATATAGTTCTTATTTCATAATATTTTTTGTTATTTTTTCTGATCTGAGAGTTACTTTTGAAAACATTTATTTCTGTTTCGAGGATTTTGATAATATAGAGGACATTTTCATTTTTTTCCAGGAATATTCGAAAATCCAGCGCCAGCGAAATATTTAAAAAAAAATAAAAATATTATGAAATATTAACGATATATGAATGCGTCGAAAAGTAATCGATGAATATTGGTTTTGATATCTGTTTGGAATTAAATCCGAGTTGAATATTGCAACTTTCTGAATTTATATGGACTCTACATTCTTCAGCATGAGTCGTTTTTAACAATTCTCTCCTTATACACCCAACAAATAGAAAGATTAGTACTTTGATAATGTCATTGAAATCATATAATTTTCTTTAAAAAGTTTGTAAAATATGAATCATTCTGTAATTTGAAGATTGGGTTTAATTATTCCAACGGTAAGGCGGATTGTTTTAACCCGTTTCCAGAAAAACAAAGTTACAAAAAAATAGCCCTTAATTTCCCATGGAACACATTCCTAAACTATTTGAGGTCAAATAAAGCCATAATCATGAAATTCAAGAATTATTGGACCTTTTCTTTGTTGTAGATCTTGTTTTTATTGTTAATTTTGTTTTAAAATGGGTCTAGATATTTGTTTACCAGTGTGTGTATCCTCTACTTGATATCCGTACTGATAGAACTTTTCCACGTTCTCATGTGGATACACCTCTACTCCTCTACTCAGATCAGACACCAGGAGAACAATCCAACCCAGTCTCATCATTCTTCACCAGATCTAGTTCAAACTCTAGAAATATACCTTCAGATCTAGTTCAAACTCTAGAAATATACCTTTAGATCTAGTTCAAACTCTAGATATATACTTTTAAATCTGGTTCAAACTCTGGAAATATACTTCAGATCTAGTTCAAACTCTAGAAATATACTTCAGATCTAGTTCAAACTCTAGAAATTACTTCAGATTTAGTGCAAACTCTAGAAATATACTTCAGATCTAGTTCAAACTCTAGAAATATATTTCAGATCTAGTTTAAACTCTAGAAATATACTTCAGATCTAGTTCAAACTATAGAAATACATTTCAGATCTAGTTTAAACTCTAGAAATATATTTCAGATCTAGTTCAAACTCTAGATATGTACTTTTAAATCTAGTTCAAACTCTAGAAATATACTTCAGATCTAGTTTAAACTATAAAAATATACTTCAGATCTAGTTCAAACTCTGGAAATATACTTTAAATCGAATAGGGCTAAAAAAGGTTCTGCTTACAGAAACAAAACATAATTTTATCGTTTACGTCAGTTTAAAACTATCTAAGTGTTCCATTTTATTCCATTTTTTACTGTAGTCATTACTATCCTTCTGAACCGGTAAAGCCCTTAAAAAAACATAATTTAACCTCAGCTCAAAGTTGTTCACAAAACTTTGGGATTATGAAATATTTTCATAGTAAGCTATCAATGAAATAAGTCTAAAGACCAGAGATGGTTGACGAGGAATTATGCTAGGAATACAGTCTAAGTGAGGAGGAATTTAACTTGGAATAAAGTCTAGTTGAAGAGGAATTTAACTTGGGGTAAAGCCTGGTTGACGAGGAATTATACTAGGAATAAAGTCTAGGAGACGATGAATTTAAAGTTTAGGTAAAGAGGAATTTTACTAGGAATAAAGTATATTTAAAGAGAAATTGAACTAGGAATAAAATCTAATTGAAGATGAAAAATACTAGGAATAAAGGAATTATATTAGGAAAAAAGTTTAGGTAAAGAGGAATTATATTAAGAATAAAGGGAGTTGAACCAGCTCGCCTTGTTTGTGCTCTACACATTGAACATCAGTTTCTGAAAAAATTTTTATTAAAAATCAAAAGATTTAAAATTATCAGGTGGACAAAATAAAGCCGGAGAAAAAACATTTTAGAATTATAATATTTCTATTCGAGAAATATAAGAGCAAACTTCTAAGATGAAGAAGAAATCTATAGTACGGTTTAGACCTACTCCATATACCAAGGTTTAGTAAGTTAGGGTTTAAGCTAATCCGTACGCCAAGGTTTAGTATAAACTAGCCCTTCTTTGTATACCAAGGTTTAGTAAAGTTTAGACCTACTCTGTGTATAGTATCGACTATGCCTAGTCTGTATACCAAGGTTTAGTATGGAAATACCTACTCCGTATCCCAAGGTTTAGTAAAGGTTGAACCTACTCCGTGTACAAAGGTTCTGTAAGAGTTGGCCTACCCTATATGTTAAGGGCTGATAAGGAAGACCTACTCTGTATACCAAGGTTTAGTAAGGACTAGACCTACTCCGTATACCAAGGTTTAGTAAGTACTAGACCTTCTCCATATACCAAGGTTTAATAAGGACTAGACTTACGCCGTATAGGAAGAGCTACAGCTACTGTTTATACCAAGGTTTAGTCATGGTTAGACCTACTCAGTATACCAAGGCTTAGTATGGATTAGACATACTCCTTTTACCAAGGTTTAGTAAGGGTTAGACCTACTCCGTAAATCAAGGTTTAGTATGGACTAGACATACTCCCTATACCAAGTTTTAGTAAAGGTTTACTCTACTCCCTATACCAAGGTTTAGTGAGGGTTAGACCTACTCCGCACTAAGGTTTATTAAAGCCAATACCTAAACCTTATACTAAGGTTTAGTAGTAGATATAGCTAGTGTGTATACTAAGGTTTAGAGAGGGTTAAAGAAATTGAGTTTTTGCCATAAACTCTGACTTTCTAATCCCTATTTCTTTGCAACCTAATGTCGTAGACCTTAGATATTTCAAACTAAAAATTCTGTTGTATTAAAGAAATCTTAGTCTGAAATATTAAAGGTTTACGGCACAAGGTTTCAGAGATATCGGGATAAGAAAATTTTAGTTGATATAGGAATATTCCTATTCTGATACTTTAGTAAGGGATAGGCTTATTCCGTAACCAAGGTTTAGAAAGAGTTAGACCTAGGTTTAGTATGGGTTAGATATTCTCCGTATTCCGGATTTGGTCAGGGTTAGACCTACTCCATATAATAAAGTTTAGTTAGAGTTAGACCTACTATGTATACCAAGGTTTAGTACTAGTTAGATATTCATTATATTCCGGGTTTAGTAAAGGTTTTAAAATGGTTAGACCTACTCCGCATTATAAGATTTAGTGAGGGTTAGACTGTGACTCCGTATACCAAGGATTATACCTACTATGTACAATAAGATTTATAATATTTTAAAAAGTGTTCCTAGTATCAAGGTTAGGACTTATGATTACTCCGTGTATCAAGTATTATCATGACAAGATATTTATTCTTCAACAAATAATATATTTGATGCAGCAATTATCACTCAGATAAATCAAACATAAATTATTAAAGTTCGTGTCTCTATTATCTTATATTTAACCAAGATAAAACATACTGTCTGGTTGAAGTATCCTGAGAAACTGCTGTTGTTACAACAATGTGGCGCGCTGTTGTCTCATGTTGTTGTGTCGCACTCCTCTCCTGTTGCTCCGCGTGATATTTAAGGATGAGTTTCAAGTTGAAAAGGGGGATGGGTGCTGGGTTGAAAAGGGGGAATTTTACTATGAATAAAGTATATTTAAAGAGAAATTGAACTAGGAATAAAATCTAATTGAAGATGAAAAATACTAGGAATAAAGGAATTATATTAGGAAAAAAGTTTAGGTAAAGAGGAATTATATAAAGAATAAAAGGAGTTGAACCAGCTCGCCTTGTTTGTGCTCTACANGAAAAGGGGGGATGGATGCTGGGTTGAAAAGGGGGGATGGATGCTGTGTTTTTAAGAAAATAGGGGGGGGTGTGAGCACGTATTATCTTTACCAGTAAGAATGTTTATTAATCTCTTTATGTTTAATGTATTTCTAGTTTCCAGATGTTCAATAATATTAGAATGAAATCAAAAATCCTTAAGTTATAGGACATTAATATTTTTTTCAACACTACACATTAAGACTAATAATACATTTAAAGAATAAATAAATATTTAAAAATGGGTTGAATTAAATGTGGATGAAATGATGATTCCTCAAGCTGGTTTTAATCAAGAGCTTGTTACACTCCTCTTAACCAAATTAATGCTAATCCTTCTATATTTGTAACCTAATCTCGTAAACCTATTTAACTATTAACCTAAGTCTGGAGAGATCTCATATAAATCTTAATATATCATAATTCAACCCTTGACCAGGTTCTCCGGCAGTTGTGACCACATTAATGAGACTGTGGTTTGTAAAAATATAAAGAAAACATGGAGTCAAAGAAAGAGTTCTTTTCATTTAAATTAATTGAGTTGGCATCAATTTTAGATTTTTTTTAAAAATATCATTCACAAAAATAAAACAAAAAGGGTTCAAGGATTGGTCACGTGGTTTTCAAACTAGAAATTATATCTGCTGAACAACGAACAGAGATTTTGTGTGTTTTCTTTTAAACAAACCTCGGCAACTTTAATCCTTTGATTTCTTTTAAACAAACCTCGGCAACATTAATCCTTTGATTTCTTTTAAACAAACCTCGGCAACTTTAATCCTTTGATTTCTTTTTAACAAACCTCGGCAATTTTAATCCTTTGATTTCTTTTAAACAAACCTCGGCAATTTTAATCCTTTGATTTCTTTTAAACAAACCTCGGCAACTTTAATCCTTTGATTTCTTTTAAACAAACCTCGGTAACTTTAATCCTCTGATTTCTTTCAGAATATTCCTGCTGGGATTCCGATAACAGGATATCTCTGCTGGGGTTCCAACAGAAGGATATCCCTGCTGGGGTTCCGACAACAGGATATCCCTACTGGGGTTCCGACAAAAGGATATCCCTGCTGGGATTCCGACAAAAGGATATATCTGCTGGGGTTCCGACAGAAGGAAACAGAAGTATACGGATAAGTATTCTATCCTGGAATTCGCAACAAAAAAAGTGTTGACTGCGTTCTTGTGAATTTCGTGAATTTTCTCAAATAAAATTTGAATGTTTTGAAAATATTTAATCTAAAACAAATTACGTAAGAATAAAAATTTAACTTAAACCTCAAACAAACAAGAATAAGTAAATATCCTCCCCCCCCCCCTCCAGGGTTCTTGGTGAACCCTGGAGACTTTCACAGATTTGGTATTTAAGATGATTAAAGATGAATAAAGATGGATTTAAATCAATAAGTCTGGAATTTTTTATTATATTTTTCACGAAGCTTAAAATAGATTATGTCTGATTATATTTAATTTTTTTCATCAATGTTTGCTATTCTTGTATCCTTATGTTTTTTGTATTTTTCGTGGTTCACTCTGGACTAACCATGCTCGGTTTCTTCAATCATAATTCAATCGCGTTTTGATCTTTAATTTAACAATCTTAACCTTTTACTTGTCCTTTTATTCTATTTCATTTAAAACGCATCTACTGAAAAAAAGTAAGAAAGTAAAAATCGAAAATGTGTGATCAAAAGTCAGAACTAGCGGGGACAAGTCCCTTACTGTTAAATTAGCGTGGGACTGAAGGTAGTTTAGGAAGAAATCGTGGCGGAGTTGTTAATCAAACTTCCTGTGTCATGAAACATTAAGGTTTTATCTCTAGTTTCTATAAACTGCATCCAGCAGCAGCAGCTGAACACATGGTCTAGTGATAAACCCTTGAACTTGTACTCAGCGTCATCTGCTCCTAAACTCACGGGATATAAATCTTTAAATGATAAGAAGGAACCTCTAGACCCGACACTAAACACTTCCGCATTCAGACAAACTACTGACCTCAGCTCCTAGATACATTAGAACTCCATTTACCAAATTAGCTAATTTTTAAATTATTTAAGGGGACTTACAAAATCTGCTACTATAAAGTCGATACTAAATCAGCTATTCCTTAAAAGTCTCTACTAAATCAACTACTAAAAAGTCTTTACTAAATCAACTACTAAAAAGTCTTTACTTAATCAACTACTAAAAAGTCTCTACTAAATCAACTACTACAAAATCTCTATTAAATCAGCTACTTCAAAGTTTCAACTAAATGAACTTCTTAAATTCTCTACTAAATCAGCTACTACTTAAAGTCTATATTAAATCAGCTACTACAAAGTTTCTACTAAATCAGCTACTACTTAAAGTTCTACTTAATCAGCTACTACAAAGTCTCAACTAAATCAACTACTACATAGTCTCTATTAAAACAGCTGCTACTTAAAGTTTCTGATAAATCAGCTACTACTTGAAGTCTTTACTTGATCAGCTACTGAAAAGTCTCTACTAAATCAACTACTACAAAGTCTCTAATAAATCAGCTACTACTTAAAGTCTCTACTTAATCAGCTACTACAAAGTCTTTACTAAATCAACTATTACAAAGTCTCTATTAAAGCAGCTGCTACTTAAAGTCTCTACTTCATCAGCTACTTCAAAGTCTTTACTAAATCAACTACTACAAAGTCTTTACTAAATCAACTACTACAAAGTCTTTACTAAATCAACTACTATAAAGTCTCTACTAAATCATCTACCACTTAAAGTCTCTACTACAATTCAATTTTTGCAAAGTGTCCACTATATTAACAAGATGTCTACAAATAATTTTTGAATAATGGTTTAATAAATAATCAACAACAATAGTTTACTGAAACAGAGGCAATAAGGATATTATTTAATATATATAATGCGAGGCATGATTTTATAAAAGGTACAACTCGTACAACTGTGTATCAGGATTTTTTAGAATACAACCGACAAACATCTGATACAGAGAAACCCCACAAAGGACGAGATTCTAAATATGACGATCTGAATTTGGTCTATACTACTGCCTTAAATTTAGTTCTTTAATTGTGTGCAAAAACACTTGACAACGAGGAAAAGTCTGCAACAGCATAGAGTCACTAAATCAAGAAGAAACACCGTTCGGTCAGCCCTAAAGCCTTGTTTTTATATGTAACCCTGAAGGACAAACTTCGGACTGCTCAGTCTTGTTTTTCAAATCAATGGTTCGCTGAAGCAGGTGCAGTTTAAAACCTTTTTTCTTCTGTGTGCCATATAATTATTGATAGAAACCTTTTTTTTGGATCTTCTCATAGTTCTTCTGGACACACGCCATCCAACATTATGGTAAACCTCATTATACTTTTCCAGGTCAGGTTAGGTTAATATCTATAGATAGCCATGTACAAGGATGTATGGCAAGGAAAGTTATTTCAGAAGTGTACACATCTTTTGTGCTGCAGTGTGCTGTCTCTGTGCGGTAATGTAAACACAAGACGGATGTCGTAGCCTGAAATGGGATCTATCTTTCACATAGAAAATCAATGAAATATTCTGGTCATAGGAAACTATTATGTGAATTATCAAAATTATCAAAATTTATTGCTTTTAACCTCCTCGGATACTAAACGAACACTGATGCATCTATTCTTGTTTACAAATTCCGCCCAAAGAGAACTGGTTTTAATATGTACGCAGAGTATACACGACCGCAATAAACTTTCCTTGCCTTACATTCTTGGCCATGTAAAGTTTTCGAAAAGGAATGAAGGAATGGAGTCTTGGCCTTAGACCAGTAGACCTTAAATATTTCAAACTATGAATTCTGTAAGATCAAACTTTTAAATGGGTAGTACACCATTAGGTTGCAAAGATATAGGGATTATAACATTTTAGTTTGACGCCAAAACTCATTTCTGTTTAACAAAAAAACAGAACCTAGTTTTAGAAAATCTATTGTTTATAATTGTACACTGACTGTACAAATAGGTTTACATGAGTGCCGCAGTATGTTTCAGGAAGACGACAAATGATGATCAGGTGGAAATACAGATTACGATAAAAGTTAGAATATACTATCGATGGTTTATATCTTTGAAAAGTTGTGAATTATTATTTTTAAAATTCTTTTCGACTAATTCAACATGTACAGATTTACCCACAAAGGACGATTGTACGGAATTTGTTTAGTCCGTTTTCAGGGTTCCTTGTAGGCCAAATATGGCTATTTTCTGTGCTTGATAATTTAGTAAATCATTAAAATACTCAATTGAATGCAGAAACCTATAATCCAGCTTTAAACCGTCGAATTTCTTTAGTTAACATATAAAAGCATTTAATTTAGTTGACATCTGAAAACAATCATTAGAGTTTTGCTGTCCTCTTCATTTATATAATGCTTTTTCTGAAAACAAATGTTTTTTAAAAGTTAAAATATTTCAAAATCACAAGTTCAAAATGATCATTTAAGATTTCTTGTCCCACGTATCGACTTTTTCACATAAAATTAATTAGATCTTGAGAATAGGTCTGTTATATTTTAGACATTATAAAACAATATTGAAGATATCCCTGTTGTTCTCTTCTATTCACTGTAGATTTGTGCAGCAGAGGCAAAGAAATAAATTGACAGAATTCACCATTTCTCCATGCAGAAAAACGACAATTTCGCCGTTTCTTCTTTGCACTGGTTAAATTTCATATTATTGAATGTAAACTAGACGGAAGGCGAAGGTCAAATTTATGCGACTTATGCTTTGATTTTTCGTACAAACCAAATAGATTATAAAGTAGAATAGGTGGCAACAGAGAAATGGACTAATTATGCACGACGTCACAAGTGTCAAATATAACAAGGAAAACGAAATTTTCTCACATTATAGTTGACATGTTTTCCAAGATTAAAAAAGTATAAAATTAGAAAATAAAGAATGCATAAAATTGCACTTATTTTACTGCAAGACAAGCGCTTAATTCTAAAATTATCATTAATTATTTTGTGACATAAGAATACAGCTGTACTGAGAGTGTGCAAATTCTACGTTGCTATCTATTGAACTAGAATCTTTGTGGTACAAACATGAGAAAAGCAAGTTTATCCGGTTACATAACAGAAATTCAAAAACATTTTTGTTCTTCTCTGTGGGTCTTTAATAAGAGGAGTTATGACTGAAAACATATTGGATTTTAATCTTACACGTAGCTTGGGCTTTTCTAAATCTAATATTTATAACTTCAATTTTCCCATCATTTTCAGGGAGTTATAGTTCTAGAGTTAAATTCTTAACACAGAGAAAGGATTATTAACAATCCTACGACATTAAATTATTTTCCCAAATGCAATATCAATTTGAAAATTGAGACAAATTTACAGCTGCATCAATAGTGATAAAAATAATATTTTGCGAAGAAAAAAACCACAATGTTCAGAAGGTCAATATAAACATTTATTATAATATAACAGCTGTTATCTTTTAGAAAACGCTGAGCACATCATATTGTTCTTGTGGTTTAGGTTCCAGGTTAGACCAGGGTAAACATGGCTTTCAATGCTTTTTCCTTTGGAACCGTTTAGCTCCAGGATAAAGTGGAGATCTGAAGATTTCATCTTTACACACGCTGCTAAATCTTGTCCAGTCTGTACCTAGGTATAGGCATAGTTTTTAGGTTTTAGCTTTAAAGGTGTTCTGAGATGTTCATCACACCAAAATACGATTTTATAGAAGTTTGCTTTTAGTATACGAGGCAAATTTGTTCTCTGACCAAAGACATTAACCAAAGCGATTTAACCAATCATTTAGAAAAAATAGTCTTTTTTGATATCTTTGGCAAAGTAAAAGTTTTGCATAGTGTAATAAAAGCAAACTTATGTAGCATAACATTTTGAAAGAGGAAAAACATTTCAGATTTTTGTGGAGCCTAATACAAATCAAATAAACTTTAATATTTAGAAACGGACTTCAAACCATATGCACATCAGTACATATCAGTAGGGTAGAACATTTGTTGTCCAAACTGTTCAAAATTATATTTCTTTGCGGAGAAATTTCTTTTTTATGATAACAATATTTATAATAATAATAATAAGGATAATATTATATTAACATATGTTGTAAATGAAAAAGGTTTCCAGGTACCTGAGTATCAACGACCAATCCTGTCTCCAGGTTAATCCTGCAAGAGATAAAACTTGCTCTTGGAGCTAGAACCTGAACAGTAGAGGACCCCACCACAGATATATCTGTTTGAAGATTACTACTCCCGGAGCTCTCCCAGATAGACACACTCCCTTCGCCTGACATTTTAAAAATAACTTTTTAACGGATTTCGACTTAATTTAAGAGATCCCTCAAGGGGGGTGGGTCCTGGGTCCAGGGCCCCAAGAATCCAAAAGTGGGAAAAATTGGGATACTGTAATACAATTTTGCAATTATCTTTTTATAAAAACCTTTTTAAAACTTAAAAAAATGGTTAAAATTGTTTATCACCTTTTCGTTTTGAAACTTGTCTACTTTTCTAATATTACTGCAATTTTATTTTTCATTTAATTAAGTAGTTATTTTGGTAATATTTTATAGGACTGAAGAGGATATATATCGATATATCGATTTTTTTATATATAAATCATTGAAAGTTAACTATGTATTATTTAAAATTATTGACCTTCTACTTCTCTTGTACTATATGTGTCATTTGTAAAAATTAATGTTTAATTCTATAAAATTTTCGTGGTCAATATTGCTGACTGGTTCTGGTTAGCAAGTATCTTCAAAACCTGCCTGCAGAGTTTATGTAGAGATTAAGGTTTGAATGAATCTGAATCCTGATTCCAGAACCTACCTGCAGAGTTGATGTAGAGATTAAGGTTTGAATGAATCTGAATCCTGATTCCAGAACCTACCTGCAGAGTTGATGTAGAGATTAAGGTTTGAATGAATCTGAATCCTGATTCCAGANAGGGGTATATGAGAATCCTGATTCCAGAACAGGTTTCCCATTCTCTTCTATTCTCCTCCAGGGGAAGACTACCCTGAAATAGATTAGTTTTTTTCCAGAACAATCAAATAATTTGTTTATTTAAAATACAGATTTCAGAAAACATAAATTCTGTATGAAGTTCTGTTGAGTTATGCTGTATTATATTGCATGCATAATAATGTAACGTGTTGTTTCATCTTGTATCCTGGTGTATCCTGGTGTATCCTGGTGTATCCTGGTGTATCCTAGTGTATCCTGGGGTATCCTGGTGTATCCTAGTGTATCCTAGTGTATCCTGGTGTATCCCGGTGAATCCAAATGTATCCTGGGGTATCCTGTTATATTCAGTCTTACCTCTAATAACGTAGTTTTTTCCTGTCCTGCTCCAGACCAATAAAGTTCTATGAGATCTCCTACAGAACTGAAGAGGACAACAGGACGTAGAGGTAAACCTTAACAATACATTAGGACGTAGAGGTAAACCTGAACAATACATTAGGACGTAGAGGTAAACCTGAACAATACATTAGGACGTAGAGGTAAACCTGAACAATAAATTAGTACGTGAAGGTAAACAGTATCAGAACCAAAGGACAGAATAGTACGCATTAAAATAAAATTTAAGACGGAAATTGTAAAATACTATAGAACCAGAGAGGTAAACATTATAAAAATACAGTACGTAGAACTAAACAGTACACTAGGGCGGAGAGATAAACATAAATAAAACAATAGAACTAGTAATCTTAAACTAAGTAAACCTCAACAATAAAATGCTAAACGCTTTTCTCAGCATGATTTAAATTAAACTGGTGGGTCGGACCGGGGGAGGGAGGGGGACGTTTACATTTTTCAACAACATTTTTAAACTAAGAATAATATAACCTAGGAGAGACAATTGTAGATTAGCATTCGCATCCTTGTCATCTTCAGGATCTGCATCTCCGAGGAAACCTGGGACAAGATTAAATAAATAGCTAGAAGTAGTTTCACTTCGTAGAATAAGCTGAACCACTTCAATAGAACTTAAACTGGCGGATAACAGAAGTGGTTAAACTTAGCCTAGGTAGTTCAGCTACATCTAGCTATCTATTGAACTACTATATATATTGATCTTTTGAATATATAAACAAATAATAAAAAAACTAACCCGATATTCCTCCAATGAATGATTGTATGCTGAGCAGGTTCTTCTTGTGGTTCGCTACATCCAGGATATCCAGGGAGAAGGAGGTTCGAGATATTGAGGATCCAGACATACTGGTGGAGAACATAAACCTTCCCTCCATACCTTCCACAGATACTAGATCTCGGGATACATAAACAGACTCACCCTGTACAAAATATATTGCTTACATAACCATGAAAAGAATATATAAGAACGGCAACCAACCTGTTCAATGGTTTTTTTAAAGGTTATTATTCAAAATCCATAGAAAAATCAACAATTTAAAAAAAACTAGACTATGAATATTAACTACAAATACAAGAATTTGTCTCAATAAAGGGGGGGGGTCACTTTTCTTGACAATAAAAATGGTTTTTATTAATTATCTTCATAATTTAAACCTGAGTAGCGTAGGAGAGTAAAGAATAATCCTTCTGAAGAGAAGATACTTGAGAACTAATCTTCTGGGATAGATAAGCTCGTCTCTCTTTATCTTTTATCTAAAATAGATCTGGAATTTATCTGGAATTGATCTGGGATTGATCTGGGATTGATCTGGGATTGATTTAGGATTGATCTAGGATTAATCTAGAATTGATCTAGGATTGATCTAGGATTGATCTAGGATTGATCTAGGATTGATCTAGGATTGATCTGGGATTGATCTGGGATTGATCTGGGATTGATCTAGAATTGATCTAGGAATGATCTAGGATTGATCTGGGATTGATCTAGGTTTTCTTTTGCCCAAGCTTCAAATCCAAGAGGTAACCAACGGTTTTATGTGCCTAATTTTTTTATAAGAAACCAAAAGATTTGTTAATGCAATAAATGTAGTTTGGGAGAGGAATACAAACAAATTTAGTCTGAGTTAAATAAATTAGTTCCTTTTTTTAATTAAGAAATTTAAAAAAATAGGCTTTTAGGGCGCTTCGCGCCCATCTTCTATTTAAATTGTGAACATGTTCTTTTTGTTTACATTTTAAAACAAAGAAGAAAAAAAATTTTGCGGTTTAAAAAAAAAAAATTCGCGGATTTTCAAGAATTTAATTTTTTTTTACAAAATTATGAACCTTTAAAACACATTTTTTAAAATTTTTATTATTCATAAACCTTCCCTGTGGTCACAAAAAATTTGGGCCCGATCGGTTCAGCCGTTTTGACGTTTATTGGATACAAAACAGACAGACAAGCCAAATTTATATATAGATATCTTTTCTTATAATAAGGCTTTTTCCATTAAATTTAAAAAATTGATCTGAACCTTGAAGAGTTGTTTTATAGTTGTACGATTTAAAGAATTCATGTCAACTATCTCCATTAGTTTTAAGAACTCTTCATTTCCTAGATCCTTCTCTAGTATGTGTTTTAACACTGTGTTCTCCAGGTCCTGTCTCCGAGCAGGATCTGTAGGATAGAGACCCAGGAGAACTGTTGCAGCAGTCTCACGGACCTTCTTGTCTTTTCCAGTTCGAACAATATCAAGAATTTTCTCAGAGAAATCATCTGAAATCAATAGATTTAAAGTTTTTAACTTATGATTTAAATTTCAAGTTAGTGATTGATTATAAAGAGGACATTACTGTCGTTGTTAATGTCATTAATGTCCACCTGTTTTTAAATTGTTTTTTTTTTTCAAATATATAAATTTTGCTTGTCGTATTTATTGGTTGATATTTTTAGATCCATCAAGCTGAATCGCCTTAAAAATTATTTTGAATTTTTCGAAATTTTGGGTTTTTATATTTTTAAGCTTTGTCAAATACATCAATAAAAAAGCTTAGAATGTATATAAAATTAGAAGCACGGAGCGTCCTGGAAGTTTAGTATTTAAAAACTACTTTAATAGTTTATATATTGTTACTCAGTTAAGAAATTAAATAAACCTGAACGAAGAGCTGAGAGACAAGATAGAATCCGTCGTTGACATGTCTCATCAGTACAGCTCAGTCCTGCAGCTCCAGCAGCTCCTGCAGCTCCTGCAGCTCCTGCAGCTCCTGCAGCTCCTGCAGCTCCTGAAGCTCCAGCTCTTGCAGTCAGGTTTAGAAGCTTCTCTATATCCTCCTTTTTCTAAGCAATCAACTCTTATTTTCCACAAAAATAAATTTTCTAATCCCTATGCTTTTGCAACCCGATGTCACAGATCTTTAAAATTTCAAACTACGAAATCTGTTAGATGATAGCATCTAAGTTTGAAATATCAAAGGTTTACACCATCAGGTAGAAAAGATATAGAAATTGGAAAAGGAATTGAGTCTTTGCCACAAACTCTGATTTTCTAATCACTATATCTTTGCAACCAAATGTTGTAGACCTTAGATATTTCAAACTATGAATTCTGTTAGATCAAATAATCTGAGTTTGAAATATCAAAGGTTTACAACATCGGGTTCTAAAGATATTGAGGTTTAAATATTTGATTTTGTTCCAAAGACTCAATTCCTTTGAGTTTTTATCAAAAACTAAAAATTTAGAATGATGGTTTGATACCTGGGGCTCTCTTCCTTCTTGTTTACAGATACAGTTGAAAATAGTATCCACTGGGAAAATAATAAATAAAAATAGGAGTCATGCATAGAATAGAATAGACTATAGAATAGAATAGACTATAGAATAGAATAGACTATAGAACAGAATAGACTATAGAATAGAATAGACTAAAGAATAGAATAGACTATAGAATAGAATAGACTATAGAATAGAATAAATAGACTATAGAATAGACTATCAGTACATTTTATAGAAAAAGATTCCTCTCCGGCACTGAATGAAATTTCTAAAAAGAAAATTAAATGTCGTCTTCTTTTAGCATGGTATTTATGCTTTAAATGAACTTTATTAATAAAACATGATACTATTTGCTAAATCAGCGACTGAAAAGTTGAAATTACTTTTTTTTAAAGAACTTGACTGTAAAAGATGGATAAAAAATTGAATTCTGGCCTCAAACTTAAATTTTCTACTCCATTTAATTTATTAAGGATTTAAACTTTTGATATTTTATAATAATTGATCCCGCGGAATTTATAGTTTGAAACATCGAAGGTTTACGACATCTGGTTGCAAAGATTTAAGAATTAAAAAATGAGTGTTTTTTCTAATCTTTTAATTCACTGAAGGCAAGAAAGTTTTTTTTAAACAATTATTATTGTCAACAAATACATTTTGATTTATCTAGAATTTGTTCAGTAAAAGATAATATTTTTACCGATATTTGGTGAACTCTTGTACTTGTGAAGAATGGTTTTCAAATCTTGTATAATCTCCTTCTCTAGGTTAGGATTGAAACTCAGAGAAATCAGAAACCTTTCTGAAAACGGTAAAATCTGTCATATTCATATCAGACTCAAACTTGAGAATCATCAAAGCTAGGGAACAAAAACTAAATTTCAAGTATATTTTTAACTAAACACAACCGTCCATATACCAATCACAATTTTTCGAAAAATCTTCATCTTCGTTTTACTAAAAGTTGACTTAGATAAGAATGAAGGAATGAAACCTCACTCCAATCTAGACATATGAAAAACGTCAAATTTATGCAAACTTTCTGGTACGACGTTGTGAACATTATTTTATTTTCCGCCGAAGTATGACAAAAAAACAAATTAAAAAAAGAAGTAAAGATCTAAAATTTTTTAAGATTTATATTTAAGATTTAAGATAAGATTTTAAACTTTAGTTTAATTAACTATAATTCAAAGTGTAAATGTTACCTAGGTGTCCGGGTTGAGGAGTAGAGGGAGGGAGGGCTTTCAGAACAGCTTTATACACCTTCAAGGTTCCAACTGCTCCGCATGATTCAAGAATATAATGATATTTGGCAGAATTCTTGTATTTTTTCAACATTTTATCAAGTTCAATCTCAGACATATTCATCACAGCTGTTTTTAGCTCCGACATTCGTTTCAGAACATTCTCTTCCTTTAATATTTTATCCAGAGGTTTCACTTTCTCTTTAATATCAGATTCTTGGTTCTCCTCTTCAGATTCGTGAAGATCAGTTTTAACCAGGTTTACGGAATCCAGAATAGAGTTTCCGTCCTTGCAGTCTGAACTCCGGGTTAATTTGAGATTACTGGAGATCTGGGTTCCCAGGTTACGGTTCAGGTTGGAAAAATGAGAAAATATTTCTTCTACAAAAATCTCTTTGATTTTTCCTCCCTCTTTTCTTACTTTTCTGTCTAAAAAAGAAAAATTGCGTGGATTAAAAAATTTGATTTTTTAACTGTTTTACCTGAGTAAAGTTCTTGAATATGATAAATTGAATCTCCTTGAGATGTTTTTGAGCAATCCAACTCTCTTCTGGTTTCATCTCCGGAGTTAGTTTTCTTCTCCTGGCAGTCCGAGAACCCATTGGTTTCCTCCAGGTCTAGAACCATCCTCGATAATCCTCTCATTAGATCCTTCCTTACACCTTAAAGGGAATATTTATGAATTATGATAAGGGGTATATGACAACCATATTATAATTTGCTGGTTGGTTCTATTCTAATTGTGATCTGATGAATCTTTAAAGGGAAACTAAGAAAACCCAACCGCAACGGGTTTCTCCAAGTTAAAAGTCCAAAGTAGTCCAACTGACGGGGCAGTTTAGGCAGAGATTTGTCCTTTTTATATCGATATTGTTATTTTTAATATATTAATTGAAACAAGATGATTAGTTAGGATCGTTGAAAATTATAAGTGTCGACCTGATACAGGAGCTGAGGTATAGTACTGTAAACCCTTATCTTTACTCTTCTCAACTCTAAACTCTAGATTCTCCAGGTTCTCATCTCTCCAGGATAAAGCGTTCGTCCTAACTTCAGCAGATGATTCCTCCAACACTAGACTTAGATCGGAGACTAAACTGTCACAGCTCGAGGTTTCATTCTTTGCTAGATGTCGGAGACAAAGATCAAAATGAAGTTTATAACTACATATCTGTATCTGGTTGTATCCAGACGTAAAGTAAATCAAAATTAAAAGATTAAGGATCAGTGTATTGCCAAGTTTCATCTTGAGATCACTAGAGTTCTAGTGAAGATAACTAGTTGAGATGGATCTTAGATTAAAGATGCGGAGAAATAGAGGGTTTGGTTGTCTCATTCTCCGGATATCTGCAACATTCACGAATACGTGGAGTCTAATTTTTTACATGTGTTACTCTAGAGTCTATACGTAGCTTATAACTTGTTACGGTTCAAGTTTATACTGTGTTAAGAGCAGGGTACCAGAAAACTGGTTTCCGTGCAATATTCGTCCTCAATAACCCCAACCCCGAAAGATGTATGGTGAGATAGATAGACAGATAAGATAAGAGATACAGATATGATGCGAACTCACACAAAATGGACACGAAATATGTGAATGTATTTTTTTAAAAGATGGATTCTTTTAAAAATGTTTGCTTTGAGAATTACAGATATGAGAGATTAACTGAGATAAAAATTGGAAGAGAGATAAAAGAAGGTTATCACATAAAGATGAAGTGATAAACATAAAAATATATGAGATATATACAGAGATATGGAAGATGATAAATATGGATCGATAAGGGTAAAAACAATAGAATATGGAAGAGATAATATATAAGAAAGATACAGAGATATGGAAGATGGTAAATATGGATAGATAAGGGTAAAAACAATAGAATGTGGATGAGATAATATATGAGATAGATACATGGAAGATGAGAAATATGGATAGATAAGGGTAAAAACAATAGAATATGGAAGAGATAATATATGTGATAGATACAGAGATATGGTTAGATAAGGGTAAAAACAATAGAATATGGAAGATATAATTAATTAAGTAGGGAAATAAGTGATAACATTTTAAGGAAAATGAGTTAATGTGCATAGAAGTAAAGGAAGATGATTACAGCGAGATAAAGAGATAAATATAAAGAGATAAGGAGATGAATAAATATGTATAATCTATATGTATATAAAGTTGTAATCTCTGTTTGTCTGTCTGCCTCTCTGTTTGTTTTTCCGATCATAACTCAGGGACCACTGAACCGATTTGCCTCAAATTTTGATTGGGGAACTCGGGAGACCCACGGGAATATTATTAGCTTGGTTTTGAGGTTCTAAATTGATTGGGTCGCCTTAATAGCAAAAATTTAGTTTCCCGGTGAAATCAAATTTAATATTTGGTGACGGTGATGATTCCACATTTTATTGAAAATATATTTCGGTCTGGATTGACATTCGTCAGTTCTTGAGATTGTTTCTTTCAAGAAGATTTAATTTTTAGTAACCTTGGCAGCGCTGTGTTCCCAAGCTAGTTAGGTAAAATATGGAATAAAACTAGGCCATAAGTAAAGTAAAATGGAAAAATATCAAAAGATCAAATGCCAAATGATCAAAACTCTTGAAATGATCAAAAAAGTGTACGCTGAACAGTCGGGGCAGCTACTTACTTCAAAATATTATTTTGATATTTTTGCAGTATAAGTAGACGAATAAAGATATATATAAGGAGTTAATATAGGAAAAAAACTAGGAGATAAGTAAGGTAAAATAAGTAGATGAAGAAAGGTATATATAATGAGTTAATATAGGAATAAAACTAGGAGATAAGTAAAGTAAAATAAGTAGATGAATAAAAATATATATAATGAGTTAATATAGGAATAAAACTAGGAGATAAGTAAAGTAAAATAGGTAGATGAAAAAAGATATATATTATGAGTTAATATATGGAATAAAACTAGGAGATAAGTAAAGTAAAATAAGTAGATGAATAAGGATATATATATATATAATGAGTTAATATAGGAATAAAAATTCATGAATTTAAGGAAATGAGTGAAGTGCAGATAGGGATTAGAAAATCAATACAAAGATCTAAGGAGATTAATACAGAGATATAAGAAGGAGTAGAGATACTAAGAAATACATACCGAGAGAAGTGGAGGTATAAAGATACAGAGATATAATGATACAGAGACATATAAAGACAGAAATATTAAAGGAGAGATACATTGGAATCTATATGAACTAAAAAGGATTTATTTCATGAGATTGTCCTGAAACTATATTGATGTCAATACATAAATATCTTATCTATGAATATAAACATATATACATATTACATATATTATTTCTCCAGCGTGTGCCCAAGGATACATGGACTTTTCATGGCAAATTTCCAATATTTTGTTTACAGTGTTTTAGCCGTAAACTTTGGCAGGTTCAGGAGGACGTATTCAGTTCAAGTTTACTCCCGAGTATGAGAACTTACACAAAGGGAAAACTGAGCTAGCTCAGCTAGCAACTTATGATAAAGGAGTTTTACGCTTATCTTAATAATAGAAAAATTATCGCATATTGAAATAATTTGTATAAATGTTTTTTGTTGAAAAATTGACTGTTAAAGTTAAAGCCTAAATCTTTATAGTGGAGGGAGGAGAGAAGAGATTCAGGGTTTCTTGCAGGAATGGATTTCTCCTCTTCTAACCCGCCCTTCTCCGACCTCGATGACTCTGAAGTGCGAGATGATAATATGGATATCAGGCATCATTGCTCATACACTTCATATTAGAAAGGAGGAGAAGGTTAAATTTATAGTACAACTTTGTGACTTCGTTACTCATCTAGATTTAATTTTACGTACAAGTATGAGATAACTAATTTATCTGGTTTCATTTAGAAAATTTAAATTTCTTTTCAACAACTCTTTAATAAGAGAAGTTATAATTATAAACATATAAGATTATGGTTTAACCCGCATACTGATTGTATGACCGATAAAACATCAGGATATAGACTGTAGAGGACAGAAGCAAGATTGTATTAGACATTTGCCGACAAGTTCAGCTGTTTTGGTTCAATACTCAGACATTTGCTGGGTATCTAGGGTCTAGAAACAAGGTTAAACAAAGGAATTGAGTCTTTGCCACAAACGCAAATTTTCTAATTCCTTTATCTTTACAATTTGATTGAGTACATATTTGATTTTTCAAACTTAGATTATTTAATATTACAGCTTTCAGAGTTTGAAATATCAAAGGTCTACGACATTGGGTTGTAAAGATATAGGGATTAGAATAGCAGAGTTTGTGGCAAAAACTCAATTCCTTTACTGAAAAGTTAGTTTTCGTTTGAGACATTTAAGTATTTGAAAAGTAGTTAAGATGTAGAAGCAAGGGGAAGACATTTGCAAAACAATTAATGTTTCAAAGCAACATTTAGAAATATTAAGAAATTGTGGTTTTGGCGCAAAAATTAGATTTCTTGCAAAGGAATTGAGTTTTTGCCACAAATCCCAATTTTATAATACCTATATCTCAACAACCAGATGATGCATACCTTTCATATTTCAAACTTATATTGTTTGATCCACCAGAATTTATAGTTTGAAATATCTACGCTCTACGAAAAGTTTACAGAAATTGGTTTTTAAAAATCCGAGTTTGTGGCAAAGACCCAATTCCTTTGCGGTTTTGTAGCAAAATTTAGACATTTGCTAAGAAGTGAAGGTTTCGGAGCAAATATGAAATATTAGCCGAGAAGTTAAGTTTTCGAAGCATCAATTAGACTTTTGTTGGAAAGTTTTAGCAAATAAAGACGTTAATGATTCGAAGCAATAATTAGATTTTTGTTAAGAAGTTATGTGTTTGAAACAAGCAACAGACTTTTATATGAAGTTAGGGGTTCAAAGCAAGTATTTTTACGTTCTTGAATGTTTAAACTTTCGTACCAATAATTTGATTTTTGAAAAAAGTTAAGGGTTCGTATTCGTAATAAAAATTAGATTTGAAAGATAAAGTTTCTGAGTAAGAATTGGTGTGAATCAGGAATGAGATGTCGTAAAAAGTTCTGGTGTCAAAGAATAGATAAGTTAACAGGATATAGAATGTAGTTTAAACCTAGGGTTTGATAACGAAAGTATGAGTTTAGTTTGAATAACAGGATAAAGGATAGTCTACCAGTTAAAGGAACTGTAAAAGTAATTTAACTTCCATACAAAGACAGCAATGCCCGATTCACAACGTCATCCTGAAAAGTTTGTCTGATCAAGTATGATTTAGAGATCAATGTTTAAAGCGGATTATTTTTAATTGGGGTTTCACTACATAAGTGACTTGCGTATTTCAACTGCAGGAAAACAAATAGGAATTTTCAGAATTAAAAACTTTTAAACCTCGAAAAACGACAATATCTTCCAGATTATTGATCAGATAATAGTTTGAAGACTACCGTTGTGAATCTTTGCGTGGAAGCTCTCTTGAAATAACGCACACAGTCCTTTTAAAGGTTGAAAAGATAAGATAAGAATAAAGAGCAAGGATTGATTAAAAGTGCAGTACGTGGTGAAGTGAATGGATTAAAGAAGGAAGAGAGTGAGGAGGTGTCAGATTCCATCATTCTCAGGTATAATTTGAATTTAACAAACAGACCTTAGATTTTTATTTGTTCTTGTCATATATATTTACTAGCAGGAGTATCTAGTGTTGGCCGTGCCGTTCATGCTAAAGTTTTGCGGTTGTCCGTGCTCATTAGTCCTCGAGCAATTTTCACTTTTTACCCGTTTTTATACGGGTTTAACGAAGAGCAGACGTTATTTATCTTATTTTAATACAGTTTGGCTGGCTAGGAGTAACAAACATATACATACATCACTGCACACAAAAAAAGCAGACTTTAAAGCAAAAATGTAATAGAATTTTGCCAATTACTTCTTTTAAATTTAAGCCAAAAACAAGGAAATTGCAATATTGAAATGTACATATCGATTGTCTAAGGCTACAAGATAAGTAAGTTGGAGAGGTAAACCCAAAAACACTTCAAAGTCCTTAAAATCTGATAAATAAGTTTCCTAGTTGTCTAGATATCTGATAAATAAGTTTCCTAGTTGTCTATATATCTGATAAATAAGTTTCCTTTCCTAGTTGTTTAGATATCTGATAAATAAGTTTCCTAGCTGTCTAGATATCTGATAAATTTGTTTCCTAGTTGTCTAGATATCTGTGACATACAAACATTAATTAAGGAAAAATAGGATTGAAAATATAAAATATAAAATATGCAAAAGCTGAAAAGATATGTTTATGGTACAATAATATATTAATAACCACATAGTCTGAACAATATCTTAAATTTTAATCTTATATATTTGTGTATCTAGGAATATAATTTTAATTAGCGGAACAAAACTGCTTCAGTAGACATATAGACCCGGAGCTTTGAATATCATATAGCAAATCATACAGGAAGCAAGATAAGGATTAGTCGTAGTGAAACCAGTTGGATTACTGGTCCAATATAGTATATATTTTACAAAAAAATCTTAGAAAATCCAGCTCCACAAAAAGTAGCACTCGGATTATATAAAATAAAAAATGTTATGATTGATTAACTACATTCTAATGATCCGACTAAAATCCAGAATTTGGGAATTTTAATATCTGGAAGATCAACTTTAAATTTAGTTGAATTATTAACGGGTTGAGCGGAAAAAAACGCAACTAAGGGAATTTATATGGCATTTAGCGTTTTCTATAATTTTATCCTTATAGACGCAACAAATAGAAGTAAATTTAGTAGCGATCGAATCCGACTTATTTTAGGATTTAGCCTGACCCCTCTTTTATTTTTCCCAAACACTCCTTTTAAAGAACAAGAGAAAAGAGAGGGTATACGTGACATAAGCTGCGTAGAGTTTTGAAGGATAAGAACATTGTTACATGAAGAGAAGTAAAACTATATTTGTAAATATTCTAGAGAAATTAGTCAGAGAGAAATTCTGCATTGGAACTATAAAGGGTTGACAAGGTTTCCAACAGAACTCTTAAACCACGGAGCTCATATTCAAGAGCTTTATCTTAAGGTACTTTATGCATATCCTTTAGTTGGATAAATCAAAGTAAAATTAAATTATGACCCATGAAACTGTGAAATGAAAGACGATTGGTAAACTCAAGTAATTTTCCACAGTTTTTATGGGTCTTACTGTATATTTACACTTTGGCATATTTGATGGATAAAGTATCCTTAAAAGCTTTGTCTGTTCAAGAATAAATGAGATATCTAGGCTTTTTAAATTTTTCAATTGTGGTTTATTTACAAAATTGACTGCAGAAATAATTGAGACACTAATAATAATTAGAAGAGTTAAAATAATTTCTGGTTAGACACACCTCGATATCTTCCAAATAATTGATCAGAGCTGAAAATTTTAGAATTGGATACCCTTAATCCTGATCCCTTAATCTGAATATAATCTGTGGAAACTTTTAATTTTCTTTTTAATCCGTTCGTATTGGATATCACATTTCCTACTACATGTTATAAAGATATGTTTGATTACAAATACAGATACGATGCTATATCGATTGGACTAATATCCGACTAAACTAAAGTCAGCTGTTCACAAGCCGGCTTTTAGAGCATTTAAACAAATATAAATTTATTAATATAAACTTGTTAAAAAACATATTTTATCACATTTCAGGACTATAGTGCTTTTGAACGTTAGTCTTAATAAACATTAACCCAAAACTTACGTTCGTTCAATCGATCATTAGTCCAAATGCGGGAAAATTAAAAACCGGTCTTTCAAAAGTTAAAGAGCGTATCTCTAATCTCTAGAAATTAATCTGAAGACTAAATTAGTCTTGAGATTAGCAAACAGAGAGGATCAAGCATTGATCTCAATATCCACCATTCTAAAGTTTTCAGCTGAGATCAGATAAAGGTTTTAGAGTACCGTAGTGAATCTGGTATGACCCTTTTTAAGTAGAGGAACTCTTGAAATTACAACGAGAGTCTTTTTCAATTTTTTTTACACTGCTCAGGAAAACCTAGTTGAACAGGTTCCGGAGAAACTTTATCTCAAGATGCCGTTTCTCAGCAATCTTCATCTATCTAGAAACAATATCTCCAAGATACCTAAAGATTTCTCCAAGCTATCTCAACTCACACTACTAGATCTCAGTAGAAACCAGCTGCTGGAGTATCCGGACTGTTTAAACGGAATCAAAACCTTGAAAACTCTGGATCTGAGCCACAACAGGATTCAAGAGCTCCCAGAGAAAATCTCCGAACTGATAAATTTAGGAAATTTGGCATTATTGTAAAATAATCCGACCAGAAAACAAAAGATTAAAATCTTATTGCATAATATCTTTCTAGTTTTCATAATGTCGGTTTAGAGTATTTGGTTGTGATTTCTAATAGTATTAAAAGAGTTCCAGAATCTATTTCTCTCCTAAAGAAACTCTCCGGGTTGTACCTGAGCAGGAACTGTATCCGAGAACTTCCAAATAGTCTAGTAGAATGCTATAGCCTAAGAGAACTATACCTTGACCATAACCATCTCCAGTATATTCCAGGATCTCTGGTTAAACTTCGAGAACTAGCTCTTCTCTCACTTTCAGGAACACAAGAAAATATTCCTCATTTTAAAAATGTTTTTTTTTTTAAATGGTTACCCGCAAAGGATGCTACAAGAATGACCTGGAGACTAAGGCTAAGTTGGCATTCTGCATTAAAGTTTAATCTTCTACATTGTAATAAAGGATGTAACAAAAACATTATAAAATTAGAAAGATAAGACTGAATAAAATCTGTACTTGGCAATATCTGATGGCTCTTACTATATTGGTAACCCTGTATATAGAAACAGAATTAGCATCGTTTAGAGCTTTATGGTTATATTTATTATTTTTAATGGTTTATCATAGATCATATATTAATAAAATACCGGATGTTAATTGAAAATTATATTTAAAGGTAGCCAATATTTCAAGTGAATTCCCAAAGAAAGCGGAGCATCTCCAATTCACAAAGGTGCCTTTCAAACCTGTGAGTGTGACTGATCAGTACGCTAATTTTTATACAACATTCAATAAACTAATACACTTAGTTCTCTGTCCTCGATGATCAGTGAATCAACTTACATCTTTGCAACCTGATGTCGAAAATCTTTAATATTTCAAAATCTGAATTCTGCAAGATGAAAAACTCAAAGCTGTTAGTTTTCAATATTTGTTATAATCAGTATTTGTTGTGTAAAGGAAACCTTCTCAGATATCTTCCACATCTACCCTTCGTTTCCTCTCCAAGGTAGTTTATCAAGGAAATTAAAGAATATCATTTCCTTAAAATAATTTGATAAAAAAGACTGTCAACGTTTTTCTAAGTGAACCTTCAGTTCATGCGTACTATTACACGTTACTCTTAAAAGCATTATTTGGAAAATGTTTGTGCTAGAAATTGGAAATGAAGGACTTTTACTCCATTGTCCACAAAATGATTAAAGGGATTGCATTATGTACAGTAAACAACTGTACAACATATTCTCTTTGTTTCTTTTTATTATAAAATGTCGCTAAGGATTTGTATTTTTTTACTAATAGTTCCTAAAATCTTCAGAAATATATAATTACTAGGCTTTTAGGGCGCTTCGCGCCCATCTTCTATTTAAATTGTGAACATGTTCTTTTTGTTTACATTTTAAAACATAGAAGCTTTCCTAAGAGGGAACCTCTNACTAGTATTCATACAATCTTATTCAAACCAGGTTAAGGTTTTATACTAGTATTCATACAATCTTATTTAAACCAGGTTCAGGTTTTATTCAAGTATTCATACAATCTTATTATTCAAACCAGGTTCAGGTTTTATATTAGTATTCATACAATCTTATTATTCAAACCAGGTTCATGTTTTTTACTATTATTCATGCAATATTATTCAAACCAGGTTCATGTTTTTTACTATTATTCATGCAATATTATTCAAATCAGGTTCATGTTTTATACAAGTATTCATACAATCTTTTTATTAAAACTAGGTTCAGGTTTTATACTAGTATTCATACAATCTTATTCTAACCAAGTTCAGGTTTTATACATGTATTCATACAATCTTATTCTAACCAGGTTGAGGTTTTATACTAGTATTCATACAATCTTATTATTCAAACCAGGTTCAGGTTTTATACTATTACTCATACAATCTTATTATTCAAACCAGGTCTAGGTTTTATACTAGTATTCATAAAATCTTATTCAAACCAGGTTCAGGTTTTATACAAGTATTCATACAATCTTATCATTTAAAGATAATAACTAAATCAAACAAAAAAAAATTATAGGAACCAAATTTAATGAATTTGAGCTAGGTATCTAAACTGTCTTCCGTCAATTCAACTACTGAATCTGAATCACGGTTTCAAGACCTGTGGTTAAACTGACTCTAGACTTGGCTCAAATTAATAATTGCGGTTCTAAGGGACCAACAAAATGCAGTTTTAAATGAATATATTTTCAGGCTTCATGGTCAGCTTTATCTGAAGCTCTGGTAGAGAATACATTGAACGGAGTTTGGAATCTCAGGGTTGGAGGTTGTGGAGTATCTTCATCTCAACCCTTGGATTCTCTAGCTGTGCAAACCATCATACCCGGAGCAGGTTAATATTTAGTTTCTTTAAAAATTAAAAATGAATATTTGGATTAAAACCAAACCAATGACATGGACTTTTATGAACCTTAAAAATACAATTATAAAAGTTTCACTGAAGATTGCATGAATAAGGTATAATAAACCTTTATCTTTTCTGGAGCTTGGAAGTGGGAATGCAGTTGGGGATATTATGGGTTGATATTGATAATAATCAAAGATCAGATCTAGATTGTTTAGAAATTGAGAATTAAAATTTCAGATTCGAAGATTCTCCACCTTCCACCAACCCTCAGAAGAATTTTCTCGCCTGCGGAGAAATCTGTCCCGTCTTTGCTCGAGCTGAGGTTAGTTCTACAATTAAACATTATTCTCCGAGCATTCAACATTTCTTGATTTTTAGTTTGAAAGCAGTATATAGGAGTATATGGAGAGGAAGGATTGGTTTTCATGTTTCTCCTCCTTCACAGATACAAACTCATATCAGGTTAAACTGGATAAAGGGTATAAAGTTTTACAATGAATCAACTGTTACAATTTTTATACGGATCCTACTTTTAGTATTGTTTACTGTTTACAATCTCTTTAGTTTTCTTGGAATCAAGTGCACACACTGAATGCACATGAAAATATTAGGACTGAATATTTCGGAAAGATGAAAACAAAGAAATAAGTAAAATAAGACTTTAAGTTCATTATTTTGTCAGTAGGACTAATCAATTAACAGATTTAAAAAATATTTTAATTTTTGGAAAGCTTTTAAAGTTAATTAATCTTCTACCTTATGTCAAATTAAAGAAAAAAAGAACATAAACGTTCTTTTGGGTGTATTGAAGAGCTACGGTGGTAGACAATTATATCAATACTAGCCTTAGAGGGCGCTTCGCGCCCACCTTCTAAATTAATTGTGTGCATGTTCTCTTTGTGTACATCGTAAAACAAAACAAAAATAATTCGCGGATTTTCACCAAAAATTTCGTGGATTTTCAAAATTTTCAAAAATTTAATGAAGATCGAATTTTGATGGAGACAAATATTTGAAATTTTGATCATTCATAAACCTTCCCTGGGGTCCCTAGATGTCCCACAAAAAATTTGGGCCCGATCGGTTCAGCCGTTTTGACGTTTATTGGATACAAACAAACAGACAAACAAACAGACAGACAAGCCAAATTTATATATATCAATATACTAAAGATGATTTTTTTAAAGTTTTAATTGTTAAAAAGCTTTTTTTTGAATTACAAGTTTACAAGGAATTTTAAAGAAATTTCCATTTTAGTTTTTAAATCGAAAAGTGATTGATGCTCTTTTATTAAGTTCGTAGTGGGCGCTAATCGGTTATAACATTTGAATATTTATTAGTTTTATAAACAAACCAGAAAACTACAAACTAACACCAAGAAGCCCCGAAGATATATATAAATTATTTATTTTAAGCTCATGTCACCTACTGGAGGATGATTCCTCTAGTTCTGATCTATACCTGGATCCAACCATCCTTCCTCTTACTCTCCAGCATGTTCTGGAGCTAGGACCAACAAGTTTCTGTAGTTCTCCATTTTGTAATCTCCCTATTTTCTTGGAAACATGCTTAGAGATCATTTTAAAGGTTTAAAAGTTATTCTTTTATTAAATTGACATCAAATCTGTGACTTTTATAAGGGATTTTTCACCAATTAAAAAAAAATAAAACCCAAATTTTGCAAACAAAATTAAGGATTTTTTTGGGTAAATGTTAAAAATCATCTTGGCCTATAGGGACATCCCCCACAGGGACCCTTTAATATGAAATTTTCACATCATCGTTCCTATTTATTGTTTTCCTTCAGCAGGTTCAGCGGAACTCATGGGGATCCGGAGAACCACAGATTGCAAGGAATGTCGTCTTCAAATAATGATTCATTGATTGGTGTTGTCTGATTCTGTAAATCAAAGTTTTTGGCTAGCTGTATATTTTAATCAACGGAACTGAAAAAATCTCAAAAACGTATGTCGCAGACCTTTGATATGTCAAACTATGAATTTCGATAGATTTATTAGCAAAGAGAATAGAATATATATTAGAGGGGAATTTAGAGAATCTCTCGGTAAGAATTTTTTTAGTCCCTTTCAGCCTGAAAGAGAGTTCAAAGTGTACATCATGTTCACAAATTATATGCAGTGGAGTATATTCATACAGTATGTTCCCCAGACAATCCATTTCAATTTCGAATTTTTTAAAGCTTTTAAATATACTTTATAATGAATTCTGTGAATAAAAAACATCATTTGATTTATAGTTATGACGGAAAATCATCGTTTGTAAAGTGAAAGGCATAGAGTCTATGTGAAATGATCATTGGTCAATTATGAAACCAGCTTTTTTCATAATTTGGTTTTCTTTTAATATTAATTTTAGATTTTCTATAAAATGATATTCCAGGGCCCAAAATGTTATATAGCATAAATATGTGAAGTTTATTTGCAGTATGGAAACAGTACAACAAAATGGCCGTTTTACACTTTTTTCCAGTAAATTCCCCTCTAATATATATTATATTCTCTTTGTTTATTAGATGTAGTATGAAATATCAAAGTTTTAACATCAGGTTGTGAAGATAAAGGGATAAGAAAATTAAAATTTGTGTAAAAAGTGTAAGCAAGTCTTTCAACCCTAAAATAATTTTTTAAAATTTTGACATTCATTTTTTAATATCTTTATGTGCAGAAAACAGTGTTTACGTGCATTTGATGTTGTTACAAATCAAATAGTTTTACTACAGTTTCACCAGAACTTCGGAGACATCAAAAGAATTTACAAAATGTCGTTTTCTAAACCTACTGAAAATGGAATGATTTACTTTTTTATTTGAATAATTATATGGACCACTTTAAAGCATTTTTCATGGCCATTTATTTATTTTTACAATTACAAAGATTTAGGAATAAAAGTAAAAAAAACCATTGAAAATTTGTCAAGACGACATTTTATAAATTCTTTCATAACTCCGAAGTTCTCGGTTAAACTACAAGTAAATTATTAAATCACTTATTAAGTGAAATTGGTCAAATTACGCTGCACAACTGATGTGTCTCATGTTCATTGGACCATTTAAAGTCATAATTTGAGTCTAAAAGGCGCCTTTCTATTCCATATTTTTTCTGGATCTCCCTGTAGTCGAAGATTACAATCTTCTAAGAACGCAATAAACGATTTATTGGGGTTTAAAGGGAAATTTTGCCTTTTCTCTTTTATGGATTCTTTAAAATATGTTCAATATCGAGTATTCATTACTTTTATCTTTTCATGTAAATTTAAAAATGTTTAAACCATATTTTATTGATATTGATTCCATGAAAAGTATTGCAAGGATTTGAGCTATACCATGAAGTCTGAACAAAAATCGTAAAACTTTAAATATTCACAGTCCGAGTTTTAAAGACTCATATACTCAGAGTGTTGTCCTCCAGACTGTATTGCAGTCCGTCCTGTCGGAGCAAATATTTAAGAAAATCAGTCTTGGAGTGGGAGAAGGTTCTCCTCAAATCTTCTCTACCCTGGGATATCATCACAGTTGATTCTTCTCCTATCAGAAATAATAATGAGTCATGAATGATTAGCAAACTGGATCTTAAATAGGAAAACTAGTGATTCACAAGGCTACGCCCCAGTTTCAATCAGGGTTAGAAAACTTCATGCTGTATTATTCAACTTGATTCAAAAATAGTTATATTTTGTTAAACTGTTACATAGTTTATCGTATACTAATAATGAAAACCTTTGAATTAATTGCCTATTCTTTTACTTTAAAATGTAGAAAAACATCGAAATATATTTTCCACTTTGAAGTTGTGCATTCTATAGATAGAAAACACTTTTAACCAATTCGGAGTTTTATCTTTAAATTAATTACCATTTTTCCGATGATAAATAAGCTTAATTCACCTTTGACGTACCGAAATAAAAAAATAATTTGATTCTAATAAGGCAAAACCGAATAGTGAAAGTGAACAATAAGCTGACAACTGCTAAATCTTGAACATGAATGAATTGTGTGGGTGTCCTCTTTAAACCAAGTAATTAATTAGAATTATATTCACTCTGTAAATGTATTTTTTCGTTGAGCTTAACGAAGAGCTAAGATTTCAAATTATGTATGTACATAAAAATGGAATAATAAAATGTTAGGGAGCTTCGCGCCCACTTTTACTATTAACTTTGAAATTAAAAACCCCATTTTAAGCGGATTTTTTGTTTGTTTAAATTGGTGCATTTTCAAAAATATTGATTTTTTTAACTTTGACGGTTCATAAAATACAGATGAACTTGCTTACCAACATAATTTTTCGAGTAGTCTTTAAACTTCATCTATAACAAATACATTGTTTACGGGCCGGACATTTTTCCATTCAAATTTAACTACCTAAGCTTCCCCAAAGTGAATAAATACTAAAGTGGAACAGACTAAGGAAACGACGACAGGTTGGGCCATAAGGTTTTATTTGGTTTGGAAATAATTTCATGAAAGGATTTCGTTTGGAAAGTAAAGACTAGAAAAAATAGACTAAAGACCCATGTAAATGTCGTCTTCAGATAGAACTTCGAAATTTTCACGATTTAAAATCAAAAATTTTTGTACGTTGTTGTTTGTTTGTTGTATGTAGTTTATATGTAAATAATATTTAGTCGCTTAATCAATCTAAACGAATTTATCCTTAAAACTGATTAGTTTTGTTTCAAATCTCCCTCCATTTTGAAATATGTTTGTAAATTTCTTAAAACAGATCTATGTTATCATCCAGAGGCGTATTCAGGGGGGGCTATGGTGGCTCATCCCCCTCCTGGATCAGTGGGGGGGGGGTCGGCCTCCCCCCTCCCAAAAAGAAAAAGAAATGTAAGCCCTTAATATCTTTAAAACTATGTCTAGTTCTCAACCACTCTTAAATCTGTCAAAATACAAAAGCGAAGACCAAGAGATATATTTCGAAGATCTTCATTTTTCGGACTAGTGAAATATATTCTTTTCGGGGGAGTTTTGGCCTCCCCCCCCCCCCTAAAAAGACGAAGAATTGTAAGCCCTTCCTGGGAAAAAAAACCTGAATACGCCTCTCTTAATATCTTTAAAACTATGTCTATTTCTCAACGACTGCTCTCTTATATCTTTAAAACTATGTCTTATAGTTCTTAACCACTCTTAAATCTGTCAAAATACAAAAGTGGAGACCAAGAGATATATTTCGAAGATCTTCATTTTTCGGTATCACAAATTGTGCATTCCTTGTTTTACAGATTATGCTTGCAGGCATTATTGTGTTGTCTGAAATCATTTACTGTGCAGCAAAATGGCTAAAATTCACTTCTGAAATCTTAATTTACGTTTACTTATATTTAAGTTAAATACAAATTCTAAGTCTGTGTTTGTAAACAAAGGGAGTCCAGTTTCTGTTGTACTGTACACTCCGTATACAGACCAATTTATATATATATATATACATATTTCTAAATACTTGGGACATAAAATGTCGTCATCCACCTATGAGTTTGGTCCACTTTAGTATTTATTCACTTTGAAGCTTCCCACGGTGATGTTACAGTTCTGTCCTTTTCAATGTAAACAAAATTTTAAAAAAATTTTACGCTTTTTATTTTTTTTAATCTTTTTTTGGCGGTGGATGCATTTTAAATGGAAAAGTAAAAAAAAAACTATTTTGTAAATTTAAAGATTAATTGACCAACCCGTGATTAAAGAAATCAAACAAGTCTAGCCCTGGTTAGTCCAGGGTGTTAAGCTTAAGGGCAACGAAAAAAATTGTCAGAGACAAGTAAATCTGTTTAAAGTTTAAGAATATACAGTTCTTTTAAACCTTTAATAAGTATTAGCAGAGTATAATAACTAGCTTGTAGACTAATAATATTTACAGGCATGAACCCTGGTTAGTCAAGTCATTCAAGGCATAAATATTACAGCAACTATTCAAGGAAAAAGCTTGAAAAGTGAGAATTAGAAAGAATAAATAGAATTCTGGGATTAATAATTTATAGTAAAAGGAGCAGCTAGCATGTAGAAATAAGAATTCAAGATAATGATTAGGAGAATATGTTTATAGAATGGATAAAAAGAAGAAGAAGGATGAAGAATGAGGAGAAGGATGAAGAGCAGGATGATTGAACGGATGAGAAGAAGGATTAGAAGCAGGATAAAAGAAAGGAGGAGGAGAAGGTTGAAGAACAGGATGATTGTAAGGAAGAGGAGAAGGGCGAAGAACAGGATGAAAGGAAGGATGAAGAACATGATGATAGGAAGGACGAGGAGACGGATGAAGAATATGATAATTGATAAGACGCGGAGAAGGAATGAAGAGAAGGATGATAGTAAGGACGCGGAGAAGGAATGAAGAGAAGGATGATAGTAAGGACGCGGAGAAGGAATGAAGAGAAGGATGATAGTAAAGACGCGAAGAAGGAATAAGGAATGAAGAGAAGGATGATAGTAAGCACCCGGAGAAGGAATGAAGAGAAGGATGATAGAGTGGACGAGGAGACGGAAGAAGAGAAGGATGATGGGAAGGAAGAGGAGAAGGTTGAAGAATAGAATGGATTGGAAGGACGCGGAGAAGGAATGAAGAGAAGGATGAAAGAAAGGACGATATTTCTTCGAATTTTATCAATTTTCTTTCTTTAGTGATCTTGATATCCCAAGATACGACCCAACTCAATCATCTTTTTATTATATCTAAACAATTCGAGTTTAAGGTGATGGCGCCAGGTTTGAGAAACTCCATTAAAATAAGATGTAAACCTTAACTCACAATGTGATTTATCTCTATTCTACTATATGAGCGCCATCAACCATTTTTTTTCTTCAAACCACAAATTAAAATGGAACAAAGAATTGTATAATGTAAAAAATTATTCTTTAAAAGTAAAAATATGATCTAAATTCGAAAAAAGGTTTAAATCTTTGGCAGAAAAATAATTCCGTGACACAGTACACAATTAGATGTAAAACTCTTTAATATGTCCAGTCAGTGAAAATTCAATGAAACTATGAGACCAGTCTATGGGTTTATGATTGGATTGCACAGACCAATGTGGCGCCTCACTTGATTATCTTAAAAGATAAACACTAACAACCAAACCTCTATCTCTACATTCTGATCCAGAACTGACAAATATGTACAGGAGGATATATCTCCGACTTAATATAATTATATTTCTGAGACTAGAGAGTTAGGATAGGAAGAGTTCCTCGTTAGTCCTGGAAATAACAAGTGGAGATAATACTCTGTCCTTGAATCCAGTAATAAGCTGCAAAGCAACAAAATATTCTCAGATATTCATCCATATCAATAATTTCGAGATTATAAGCAACCGAGAGTCCAAAACTAGTTTTGGAATGAAATATTTGAAAATGTTGGATATAGTAATCGAGAATTAAGGGGTAGAGAGCTAGATAGATCCAGTTAGAGACAAGGATAGAGAGGTAGAAGAGAAACAAGAATAGAGAGGTAGATGAGAAACAAGGGTAGAGAGGTAGACGAGAAACAAGGGTAGAGATTTAGACAAGAAACAAGGATAGAGAGGCAGATGAGAAACAAGGGTAAAGAGGTAGCCGGGAAACGAGGATAGAGAGGTAGACTAGAAACAAGGGTAGAGAGGTAGAGGAGAAACAAGGACAGAGAGTTAGACGAGAAACAAGGATAGGGAGGTAGAGGAGAAACCAGGATAGAGAGGTAGACGAGAAACAAGGGGAGAGATGTAGACGAGGAACGAAACAAGGATAGAGAGGTAAAGGAGAAACAAGGGTATTGGGGGGTAGAGGAGAAACAAGGGTACAGAGGTAGAGGAAAAACAAGGATAGAGAGTTATAGAGAGGTATACGAGAAACAAGAATAGAGAGGTAGATATGAAACAAGGCTAGAGAGGTAGAAAAGAAACAAGAGGTAGAGGAGAGACAAGGACAGAGAGGTAGATAAAAAACAAGGGTAGAGAGGTAGATGAGAAACAAGGATAGAGAGGTAGATAAGAAACAAGGATAGAGAGGTAAAGGAGAAACAAGGGAAGAGAGGTAAAGGAGAACAAGGGTATTTAGAGGTAGATGAGAAACAAGAGTAGAGAGGTAGACGAGAAACAAGAGTAGAGAGGTAGAAGAGAAACATGAGTAGATGAGTAGAGTGAGTAGATGAGAAACAAGGGTAGAGAGGTAAAGGAGAAACAAGGGTACAGAGGTAGACGGGAAACAAAGGTAGAGAGGTAGAGGAGAAAGAAGAGTAGAGAGGTAGAAGAGAAACAGGAGTAGATGAGTAGAACAGATGAGAAACAAGGGTAGAGAGGTAAAGGAGAAACAAGGGTATAGAGTTAAAGGAGAAACAAGGGTAGAGAAGTAAAAGAGATGGAGGATAACAGGAGAAGAAATGAGACAGAGATAAGGGATATTAAAAGATTTCATTTAATGATTTCTAATGATTCAACATTATACATAAAATCTTATCTTGATCTAAGAACTAAAAATTTCTAAAAGTTATGTTTTGATCGTGAAAAAAAGGGAATTATTCTATACAAAAAAAACTTTACGAGATAAGTTTTGCAATCAATTACTTATTTGTCAAATACTAATTGATATATGAGAACTAGTTTCTGCAGGTTTAAGTTTGAGAGAATAATAAAAAGCAGAGGGTGAAAAGGGAAGGGAGGGAGAAAGGAAGCATGAGAAAGGTAGAAAGGTAGACAGTTCCTGAATAAATATCTTGACCTAAATACAGAGAGGGGAGAGCTGAAGAGGGGTGAGGGGAGAGCTGAAGAGGGGTGAGGGGAGACTTGAAGAGGGGTGAGGGGAGGGGAGACTCGG